AGCAGGAAAAATAAGCATAGAACAAAATATTTTGACTAGGGATGTGTGCAACTGGTTGACTCAAGGTTTAAATATTGCTATCCTTGCCAGTCAGTACCAGAAATACTAGTTAATTAAGTGTACAATTTTAATTCATTAGTCTACAATGGCAGTCAGCAGGGCTGATGGTTGAGCCTCCTTCTCTCTAACTTACTTTGTGAAAGAAAGTTGTAAACAGATGACAGTTGTTTTAAATGTGCTGTTCTGCAATACTTTAATACAACAAGAAAAAAAAGTTGCCGTATGTTAGGCTTTGTCAGGATAAACTGGAGTATAATTACATTGCAAAAGCTAGGTGTACCATATTCTGCGTCTGGATTTGGGGGCTAGCATTGAAAAAAAAAAAGCAAGGCTACTGCCTTTTGTTAGGTCAATGTTTAATTTTGTCCTTTCAAAGAAAAGGACAAAATATTTTAGAGTTTAAACAAGACAGCGCTGCAGTTGTGACTAAAAGTGACCATTCTGGTGGTTAAACATTTCGTAGTAATACGAATAAAGACAAAACCTGTTATTTGTAGCAAACCTTGACTTGAGGTTTTTATGAAAAATGGATGCATGACTTTTGGAACCAGCAACTGGCAAACAGCTTTTGGGATTTCTACATTTGACTTTCTTTTTCAACCCCTGGAGACTCAAGTAAAATGAGAAGTGGGCCACAATGGTCTAGTAATCAAAGATTTGGTCATTTTCAAGCTTAGTCTGGAGTCCCAGCTGTCACTGCCTTAAATTTATCAGGCGATTTATCAAATTTATCACAGCTCCCCTGAGGCCACAGAAGGCTGTATATATTTTTTCACATATTTGGTAGAAGATCTGTAAATAGACTACGTTGCAATATGTGGGAACTTTAGTTTTCTGCATTTTTTCAGATTTGTATTGCAACCTTTTTACTTTTTTGTGCACTTTTTTTACACAAATGTATGTCTGTATATGCAAAAAAATCTTATTTAAACATTTACACATTTGAATTTCATATGCATTTTTAAGAGTTTCATAAAAGAAGCCTGACAACTGAATATCAGCTCACAGATCCTTGTCAAACTCTCCCTTTACTTTTCACAGACCTTCTGTATAAAAATGCTCTATAGTAAATATTCAGACAATCTATTTTTAAATGAATGATCAATTTATACTAATATAATGGACACATTTGAAAATTAGAAGAATCACTCAAATGTCTCTGAAGAATACAAATATAATCAAAGCAAAATAAATACATAAATGGTAAGTTTGATGTATTTCAGTTTTGGCTGTCAAATTTGAAGTGTAGCAATGTCCCCATGCATTCTCAGTACAAGCATTGCTTGACGCTTATATTAAAGAATTATTGAAGAGGTAAAATGTTTTATTCAAATCTAGTAGGAAAAAATGTGAAGTCTTTGCCATCTCTGCCCTAGATTAAGTAGTGAGTGTTTTAATAAACAACAAAGGGAAAATTTCAGCTGTTACTAGGACAACTTTTCAGATTCAAAGAAATGTCAGTAAAGTGTTCTAAAACCAGGGGCCTATAGGTAATGCAGCAGGATCTCATTGATCAAGATTATAATAGAAAGATTTCACTAATATATGCTACTGCATGTTCACCTTGTTTGTAAATGTTAGGGGAATTTCCATGTGGCGTCCTCTAATCCTCTGAATATTCCTCTATGCATTATGGCTATAATATTGACATTATGTAGGGAAATGGAGAGGGCTGAAACAGGGTGAGGGGACTAATATTGATCCTATTAGCGAGACGCTGATCCTCAAAAACTCATTACTATGTAAACTGTATCCAACACAGGCATTCTCAAACATAGGTATGGTCGAATAGTCAAAAGAATTTCCCTCCTTTTCATAATCAATTTTCCTTTGATGTTGGTGGAAAATGTCACGTACACTAGACACATAATAACATCTGCCATATTGAATACAATGTTCAGAAGATCGATTACAAAATATGCCTCTTCCTTAACCTCTTTGCTAACCTCATTTGCATACAAAAGAAAACAAGCAGTACAATATTATATATATATAATTTTAGTTTTTTAATTGTGTGTGTGTGTAATTATGCATGACTCTCTGTTTAGGATTTTTATAACCAAAGTAGAATTCCATCGTTTAGCTTAACCCCACCCCGAGACAACAGAAAACTTTAGACACACCTTGATCAATTATTACAGGTCATAAAAGCTCATAGAAATCTGTGTTTTTCATGCAAGAAGCATAAGAAGCAGTATTACATGCTACACACTATTACAGCAATGCAATGTTCATAGTTCAACTGCTGATGAATATTCAAAACATATCAGCAGTTAATGGAAATGGAAAATGCATCTATAAATAACATTTAAATGATCTGCATCACTTTGTCCGTTTCATTGATCATTTTCATGAACAGTCGGACGGGTATGTGATGTAATTATCTTCTTTCCTTTCATAAAGGATAGCCACGTGTATACTACACTGAAGGAGCTAATAAAGGAAGCACTGAGGCACCGTCCCTTAATATTTCAAGAATTCAACCGGCTCTTATTATGACTGCCACGCAGATAGTTCTGAGTCAGTTCCCTCACTCAGGAAGCTTAACTGTTTGACTGCAAAATGTTGTGTACCTGTAACAGTGAGTCAGAGTGAGTCACTGTGAATGTTTTAAAGTACCACTGATGTTAATGCTGTCAGTGCAGGTTCAAAATTATACTCAGTTAATTTACTTTTCAGCAGATTACAATACACATGCAAGAGCTGTATCTACAAATAATGTGTGTATGCGTTAGAGAGAAAAGAGACTCTGTGTGGTAATTTAATCAATGGATTAATTGGTTACAGCTTTGTTGGGTCTGTTGCAGTGAGTCAATAGAGATGACGCCACAACCGCAACATACAGCTGTATAAAAATAATTTGCCTTTGTGTGTATGATTGTGCGTTTCTCTGTGTGTGTACGCTGTATTTCTTTAGTGCCTGTGTGCATGTCACAGGGGAGAGTTTCTAGCCATCTGAGCCCAGTTTTCTGTCTCTGTCTAAAGACCCACAGTATTCTGTTATCTGTTACTCATTAATTTTATACAAAGAAACTCATTGATAACAGTATTGTTTCCAGTGTGATAAATGAACTACAGAAGACACACTGGGTTCCACCAGCTTGCCAAAGCCCATTAAGTAACAACAAATATGTTTTCTTTTGTGGATAAACTTGACTCTGCAGCTTTAGGAAAACAGTCACAAGGTTTGAATTTGAATGCATCATTACCATAATTTCTATTGTTTTGTGAGTGACAGTGCCACCGTGTTAGTTTGGTAATAAGACATGCATGAATGGGGAGATGCATTCAGTTTAAATCAATCCTCACTGTTTGCACGGTCAGAAACTTTCCATGTACCAGAGTGATTTCATTGGATAAACAAAATCTAGCTGATTGATTTGCTTTCAGGATGCAAGTGGCAACAAAACTATGAACCTGAACTGCTGAAAAACTTCTTGAAGTTTTA